ACATTAACTCTCATTGTTCAAGTATACTTCTTATTTGTCATTGATCTCTCTTAACACCCCTTACTCTACCCTCACTTTTACAAATATGTTTAAAGGAACAATATGTCTTGCTCCCTACTATTAATGTGATGACAATTTAGTGCCAGGATTGACTGATTCAAGTTAGTTACATTTACATTTTATTTTGGTTTAGTGATAATTATATATAGGTTTTTCCTAATTTATAAATTTTTTAACCTTAGGTTAGTGGACTTTTATGTTTGTATTAATTCACCATTAATCAATTTGTTGACACTAGGATTGTGCAAAAAAATTGTTGTCAAACTAATTTTAAAAATCTTGGTTACTATTATATTAGTTTTTTGACCCAAAATGTTGGTTTTTTTTTTGCTAAACCTCGAGATGTGAAGACTTTTAATGACTTCAACAAGAGTAGAACCAATGACAAAATTTTGTTATGACTGATTCAAAATCTTTCTTCGTAACAAAATTCAACAACTTCAGAGGGAGTGATGTGTATATCTTTATCATAATTTTTTTAAGGACAAATTAAATAAATAAATTTTTAAAAATTATATGTTTTCATTATTGATTATGGTTCTTCAAATTTAATTATGAGTTTTTTTTTCTACTACTGTACTAGAATTTTGGAATATTGAATTATTTTAATTATTCATTGTGATATATAATTCTCGATTTATTTGGTGTATTTGGAATATTAAAATATTTTTAACTTTATTTAATGATTGTCACGACCCTTTTTTGTAAAAGATGCATGACATACTAATGCAATTTACCCGCGTTTAAAACTTTCATATTTTGGAAGGATCCAAGACTTATTTTACAATAATAAAAAAAATAAAAAAAATCATTGTTTCAATAAATAAATAGAACTTCAAGGCATCATCATAATATCTAAAATATATTCATACATAATTATTTTGTAATGTTATATACATAAGAGTTGCTCAATATAGAGCTCAAAATACAGATCAAAAACAAAATTACATGTCTCTAAAAATTCTGGCTAAGTAGTCTAGATTACAACCCTTCCAAAAAGGCATGTTAAACTCTAAATATCTCTTAGTCAGACCGTCCAGCATGGGGAGTAAATGCATCACCTGTCACTTATGCTCACGTACCACCATACACATTGTAGCACACATACCAGTACAAACAAAAATGCAAGGGTGAGCTTATATAAACAACAATCATAACTATGAGGTATAAAAATATTAAAATTATTTATATAACTCATATAATCTATGGCAATAAACACAACAATCTCAGTCAATTGATGCAGCATAATCAGTCCATTCCCAGCTCATCTAATGCAGATGCAGCAATTCAGTTCCAACTGGTTTCACAACCTAAATAATCCAGAGGATCTGTTTCTAGCCAAGGAGTGACCTATACTTGTATCTGGATCTAGACACAGCACAACTCATCATTTCTATCATTACATGTCTAAACACATAAACATGTACCTCAGCTCTAAAATGATTAAAAATCAATATGATGCAACATAATTATATATATATATATTTTCAGCCTCAACAATACAGCAATAAATACACTTTTATTCAACCTCGACAGCATAGCTATATATATTTTCACAATAAAACTAAATAGCTCATAACATTTATCAAATATTTTAGCATGTCATTTCTACCACAACATTCCAAACTTTTATCAAATAATAGGGACATATACTCATTCATACATACTTTGGGTTCTAACCTAAGATTTGCTCATATAACAATTATTCTCAACTAAAACTAAATTAATTATCCAAATATTTCAGCATCTAAGGAATAAATAAGGGCAGGTCAGGTAAACTCTTAGGATGGGTTCCCTTAGATCTAAGTCCACGAGAGCTCTTGAGAAAGAAACAATGCTCAAAGGCTTAGATCTCCGCACTAGATCTGCACTAGGTAAAGGTTCTCACTTGGATCTGGAAGAAGTTCGACCTTAAGAGAGTTTTTTTTAGTGAAGAGGGTGAGAGAACGAAGGAGAAAAGAGGGGTTGGTGGTTTGATGAGAAATGAAAGTTTTTAGCTTCAAACCCCCTTAAATACTCCTCAGTTCATGATCTTTTTGCTACAACGAGCACCTCTCGCTCTAGCGAGATATACAAGACAGTGGAACCTCTCTATTGTCTGTCATTTTTGCTGCAGCGAGAATTTTCTCATTGTAACGAGAATCTCTTAGCTACAGTGAGAGAGCTTCAGAAGTCCTTATTCCTGACAACCTATTCTCGCTATAGCGAGAGACATTTCGTTACAGCAAGATATTCTACAGTTCAACCTGACCTAAAATCCTCCAACTCACACAACATGCATCAACTTTTTACTCAACAACCATAGAACTTATACCTACATAAATTCAAGTCATCTCATGTCACAACCAACATACAACATCACATTCAAAATACAGGGATGCCATATTTAAATAAATACATCATTAAATCTAAAAGAAAATAAGTATATATCCAATACAAGCCTAACAATTATTCATTATCATATTTATTGATTTATTAGGGGTAACAAACTTTTAAAAAAATTTAAATAAAAGGAGAATCTACCAAATTTTTTTAAAACTTAAGAGAGTGATTTAAGTAATTATTCTCAAAAGTACATTTTAAAAAGTTTGTTTCACACTTAACTATTCTTTAAAATGTACTTCTTAAAGTGATTATCAGTTAGAATCACTCTTCAAAATATACTTTTGAAAGCAGTTGATAAATTATTGTTAAAAAATTGACACACTTGCATAACACCTATTATAGAAGTAGTTCAAATTAATCTTTAAGGTAAAACACAACTACTCTCCCATTTCCATTCTACCATAGTAGATCCCTTTTAAATTTGCAAAAGAATATTAATCTAACCCTAGAACTATATTAGATAAATCAATAAATTTAATTATAAAATTTTACCAAAATGTAAACCTATCCTATGCTAACTCTGGCTCTTCTCTGGACATATATTGCATTTTTTCTAATCATATATTTATTTATTTATTTATGTATTTGTCCCGTGAATCGCACGGGTCTAGTACAATCCAAAATGTAGATTAATCAGTTGTATTTCCACTTCCGGCTATCTTCAAAAAGAAAATGATGAGAAGACGACAACTTCGCTGGGAAAAGTATACAGTTGCAATAATTACACGAAGAATATTTTAATTACGCGTAAAACTTTGGTCAGTGCTACTTTTGTTGACTTGGTTCGGGTGATCGTTTCGCTTTGTAGATGTGTGACACAGTATTAGATTTGGTTTATTTGAACAGCATTGTATTTTAAGTACATATTTGAATGAGTTATTTGTTTCTATAGGAACCACTTATCTTCTTAAAGTTTTCACAAAACTGTTTAAAATATGTAATTATTTATTAAAAATAAATTAAATTAAACGTACATCAGTTGTTTTCTTTTTTTCCAAGAAAAGGCTTGTCTTTTACAAGAAAAAGTATATGCAACTTTGTTTATGCTTTTGTGTTGGATCGCGCGAGTTTTCAAATGGTTTCTTAGCTACGTTGTATTTTCCTTTTTAAAAGAGTTTTCAGTTTTTAAAATTAAAATACATTATACATATTTCTAGCTTTTACATTTTGACGGGAAATTTCTAATGTATAGGTTTCTGATCACCAATCAGTAATCACCATGCCTTAAAAGGAAAGAAAATTATTAAAGCTTGATATGGTCTATTATTATTTGGCTCAATAAGCAAATTTTGAAATGTTAATCAAAATGTCAAAGAAACTAGCATAAAGTAATTCCTCGTATGAAATCGAACCAAAATCAAAATTTTAATTAAATTAGCAAAAAGTAATACCGACATATCTAATAGAATCCGATTTAAACTGCAGGTTTTTTTTTTTTTGTTTTTATAAATATAATTTAATTTCATTTAATTTTTATAATTTTTTTTTTCAAAATAGCCTTTAAGACTACTCACTGATAATATAGTCTATTTTATAAAATTTTAAAATTTCTAAAAATGAAAATCGACAAAAAAAACAAACAAACAAAAACTAAATTTAGCCATATCTCTAAAAGTTAAAAGTATATTTTATCTTATAAAAAATGTATGTAACGCGAGCTTTAAAAGAACACAAATTTACGAAAAAAATCATTCAATGCTGAATAAAAAAACTAGGTACAGGGTAAAAATATTCTAATACATCAACGGATAGTATCAATATCCATTCCATATTATTTTCACACACGAAATGCAAAAGTACTATCCATTCCTATTATCTCACTTTCATTCTAATACTCTATTTTAGAAATAAAGTTTAATTTTGATGTACTATCATACTATATAAACCAATAGAATTTTTAAATTAATTATTATAAAAATCAACAATTCTCACATGTGATAGTATATTATTGAATAGCAATAACACATTTTTATACCATCAGGACATTCTAATTAAACTCTTAATATTAAATTTAATTTTATTTCACTTCATAAACTTCTGATCCTTGCTTCCAACCCGACGAAGTTGTAGAGAGAGGCCATAGAAATGCGCTCATTCTGTGATGCCAAAATTTCAATGTGCATGGAAAGCTGGCAGAAAAAATTTCTACACCGTTCATGACCCTTCTGTTCCGTTTACTGTCTTGCTATTTTTATCAATTTTGGCACATAAAGCCAAATTTGGAAATATCCCAAACTGAAAAGGTTACGATAAACTATCTCATTCATAAAAATATATAATGACTATTTGTAAATTCTAAATTGTAGGCACTTAAATATATTTATTTTTTCAAAATGTATAAGGAGCTTCAACTTTATTTAATCGTTAGAATTTGATGCATGGATAGGTAAAATGTAAACAACGACAAGAAAAAACGAGGCTATTCCATTTCTAACATTTTTATCGAGTAGAAATAAGGATATTACCAAATATGAAGCACTGTAACCATTCCTAAGAAATGAGCAAGTTATCATAAGATGAACTTGTGCCATGTACACTAACATGAACAGACAAGTCTAGATAGGATCAAAGGATGCAAAGTCGAGAAGTTCTGGATTGCGTTCAAATTCGACCATGTCATGTGTAGCCAAGGTTACCCATGCCTCTATGCCATTTCCATCCTTTGTGGACATCAAAATTACCACATTTTTTATAGGTACACCGATAGTGCGAACGTAACTTGGCTTTCCCCATCCAAAATCTAATTCGTAGAAACCAAATCTTATCCAACTGCTAAAACTATAACATGGAATACCCTTTTTTGAGGCCATTGTTCTTGCTTCCTTTAAAGACTCAATTACCTTAACAAACTCAACACTCTGAAGTTTACTTATATAATCCCCATCAATTTTTCTTATCGTGTTTCTGACTATCTCTACCAAATCGTGCAACCCCACTTCTCCTTTCACTTCCACCAATGGAGACACCGCTTGTTGCCAAAGATTTCCGATTGAATGCTTCGACAACATTGAGGCCATTCTACTACGAATGTTAACCGCGTGGGACATCATAGATGCTGGAAATCTTTGTTCCCCTGAAGTTGCTTTCGCTGCTGCCAATGATGATTTCCACACGAGCGCTGTCACGGCTTCAACACGCGTGGGATTGAAATTGCAGCACCCGAGTTTTTGTCTGAGTCTAGATATGTTGGTCTCATTAAACATGAACCTCTTTGTGACGATGTTTTTGTGACCAACCATCCCACGTGTCATCATGTCCACCTCTATATTCCTTGGTGGGAAAAGCAGGGTTGCTTCCGCCATTTGAGGTGGTGCCACCACGTTATTGCCTTTTCCGTTTGACGTTGAAGCCCAAGCATTAAGGAATAACGCTGCTGTGGAACCATCAGCAACCTTGTGTGAGAAGCACGCGCCAACTGCTATACCCCCACACGTGAATTGGTTCAATTGAACAGCCATGTTTTCCTTATGTTCTGTTCCAGGGTTGTAAGGATCAAATGGGAAAAGTTCAGTGATATCATGAAGTTGAGGGGCTTCGAAAATGTTTGAGAGTTCAATGGGAACTCTAGACTCAATGAATAGAACACCCTCATTATTGCACTCAATAATTGAATTACCTTTGAGTCTTCCACAAAACTGGTAATAGAGAGTGAGGACATGGGATAAAGAAGCCTTTAGCTTATGAGATATGGTTTCGAAATCAGAGTCAAAAGCATTGATATCAGATGCAGAATAAAAGAGGAGAATGGGGATGTAGAATGATGGAGGGGCCAATTGATCAAGGAGAGAGATTTTGAAGTCTCTAAGGTGATCAGGGGTTGGAGAAGAAGGCTTTATTGTGTCTTTGGATACAATTTCAGCTTTCACTGCCATTTTCTGTAATTAGATTTCTACACACAAGACTTCGGTATGCTCAGGGAAATGTTGGGGCATTATATAAAGAAAATTTTGGCTTAATGTCTTTGGAACAATGAATTTGTATAATATTCTTTTTAGATTATCTTTGTACCCACTCTTTTCTAAGCGAGTGTAAAAGAAAATCACAAATATCCATACACTGATTTGTTAATTTTTTATTTATTTAATTAGTTATGCTATCTACGGGCTATATGAAGTTTTAATTTCCATTTAGTATTTCGTATAATCTAATTTATTCAATAAATGAAAAATATACACTAATTTATAATTTTGATAAATATTTTATTAAAAAGTTGGTTATAATTTTTTAATGAAAAAAATTAATTGCTAGTCTTGTAAAATTAAATATATTTAAGTTTTGAATTTAGTGATTGTATAACTTAATTATAATAAACATATAAATTTGAAAAATCTGTAAATATTACTCAGTTAATTTTAAAAGAACGTGATTAAAAAATGACACATGATATGATATGAGACTCACTCTGAAAAAGCCTCATTTTATATAATACTTTTACATGTAAAATAAATATAAAAGTACAAAAAATATCTCTGTTCAAATATAGTCCACTTTAAAAGAAATAAGAAAAAACAAATTTATTATCCTTAAATATAATCGACATAAACTCGGAAAACTTATTTAACAGTGTAAAGTTCAATTACACGCTTACATGTAAAAATTTTATCGATATAGTATGAAATTTTATATTTAAATTTTGTCATTATAATTTTTTCTTAAATCAATGACAGTCACGACTAATAAAAAAAATTAATTTTAAATCTTTTAAATTTAAAAATATTTCATAATCTATAAATTAAAAAATAGCATTTTTACATCTAAAACAATGATTGTTGTTAATTTTTTATTAATAAATAGTAAAATTAATAATTTATTTTTAAAAATATAAATTTTTTAATTTTAAAATATTAAAAAATTATAATAATTAATTTAAAAAACATATAATATTCTCTTAAGATTATTACGTATTATCTTTGAAAAATAGGTAAAGTCTTGTTTTGATAAAGATCTTATCTCTTATTCTTCCCTCTTCCTGTGATCTTGACCTGCAGTGTTATTTTCAAAAGCTCTCACTATAACTTAAAAATGTTCTAATAAACTACGTAGCCGCTTATATTATAATAAAGTAAGTAAGAAGGAGCGACAGCTACTCGACCAGACAAAAAATACGAGTAAAGGTCTTCTCATACTATATTCTCATGTTATATTAGTATAAATTTAAAAAAATTTATTATAAAAAGATAAATGTGAGCGGACAAATTCTACCAAACTCCACCAAACAATGCATCACGTTTTCCACACGTGGCAACGAGAGATTCTTACTTTTCATGGAAGATGCAAGCTATTTAATTTCCATGTGAAGTCTTAAACGATGGTTACAATATCCAAACAAAAAAGTTCACTGGTCTGTAACCATATATGGTTAGTTACAAATCCAAAAGATGGATTAAGTCGGCAAGAAAATCAGCGTAAGGTAATTATTATATATCTTTGGCATTTTGTGTTCACCACTCATGTATATTTGTATTTCACTGATTAGCAACGGTGAGGACAAAAGTGAATATAAGAACACAAAACATGATTCTTCATTTGGGAATTTCAAAGTTGATTCAAAAATCTTTAAAATTATTTCTCTTATTTTTTATATAATATTTATCTTTTTATAAAGTATGGAGCGATTTATAAACGACAACGACCAAATTGCTATAGACGTCGTTTAGAATATCTGGAGCAACTAATGATGTCTAGGTTTATTTTAGGAACATTACGAGTAACTTCTGCTTAGAACGGGTCATGTGTTGGGGAAGAGAAGAGTCATTTGTTCTCTTTATTTCTAGAAGTACCTAGAAAATAAAAAAACTTACATGTTTAGCACTTTTTTTACATATTTCACTGCTTATAATTTTTTATCGAATAAAAATGTAAATTCTCTCCTATATAATTCTTTTTTTTTTTTTATAGGCAAAACCAAAAGGAAGTATCCTATATAATTCTTATAAGGATAAAATTATAAACTCTCATGTGTAATACTTATTTAAGTATCCAAAATACTTACAATGATTGTGATAAAAAATATTCATATTAAATAATTATATTTATTATAACTTTTCATTCTATTTAAAACTCTTTTTTCAATCTTTTGAAAATTATTACTTGTATTATTATTCTTTCTTGATATCTAACTAATCTTATTTGTAAAAGAAATACTCTTTTATATATATATATATATATATATATATATATATATATAAATGCATAAAAAAATATCTCCAATAATATTTTATAAAAAATTAATTATCCACTATGACAGAACAAAAATTTTAGAGCAGTTCTATTTTAAATTAGAGAATGATTAAACAACTGTTCTTAAATGTTAAGGTTGGAGAGCAGTTTCACATGAAAAATATCTTCAATAACATTTTATGAAAAATTAATTTAACTATTAATTCTAATAATATTATCTACTATGCCAGAACATAAATCTGAGAGCAGTTCCGTTTTAAATTAGAGGACGTTTAGAATGGCTCTAAAATCTTACGCTATCTGATATGTTATATTTAAGATAACGGTTAAACAATTGCTCTCAAATGTTAATACTAGAGAACGATTCTGCGTGGAACCGCTCTCTAAAGTATAAATGTAGACCGCGAATCTAAAATTTGAAATTGATTTCTTTTTTAGTTTTCTGTTGCGAAATAAAATAAATTTATTATTACGTTTAAATCAAAATTTGGAATTGATTTCTTTGAGTTTTCTTCATTTTTATCACAAATCAAAATTAAATCTTGAGTTTATACATTTTGTGTTAACCAAACAATTCACATCTACATGAACCAAACACAAGTAAGTAGAGAAAAAAGTGAACAAATTAATAGGATATTTTTAACATAAATAGAGAGAAAAAGAAAGAAAGAGAGAATGAGAGAATGAATAATTCACCATTAACAAAGAGAAGGGAAAAAAAAGAGAATAAAAAAGTACCTACAAATGTGAAAAAAACTTAATTTGTTAGCGTAGAGAAGATGAAGAGAGTAGACTAACAAAGAATGAACAGGTACCTACAAATGTGAAAAAAAAAAAACTAATTTGTTAGCGAGAGAAGACAAAGAGAGTAGGCTAAAAGAGAAGATGAAAAGAACATAAAAGAGCAGAGAAGAAACTTACAGTAAAAGAGACCAGTTTTGTTAACTAAGAAGAAGAAATGCGCTGAATGTGTTTCATTTATAAATGACTTTAATAACATTAAAAAGCGGTTCTTTATTAATCACTATCCAAGAATGAGATTAGAGAGCGGTTCTTTATTAACTGCTCTCAAAAGTATAGATCTGAGAGCAGTTAATAGAGAACTGCTATCTAAATATATAGTTACAAAGTAATTTTTATTAACTGCTGTCTAAGTTAGTGCTCCAAAAGTTCATTTCTAGCGTAGTGATCATAAAGATCATATGTATAATTTTTTTTTTGGCTTAATCATGTTTTTTATCCTTATAAATATCAAACCTTTTGTGATAAGTCTTTATAAAAATTTTTGTTAGGATTAATACTTGAAAAGTTTAAAAATTAGGATTTAGTCCCTGTCGTCAATCCTCTTCGATTAAGTGTTGAACTGACTAATGGAAAGACAGTTTAACACTCCCACATAGTGTCACTTGTCATGCCACATAATTAATTTTTTTTATTTAAAATTAATATTTACAAATAAGTAGGAACACATATTTTACACAATTGCAATCGAATCCATCTTCTTCCCCTTTTCTTTTTCCTTTCTCCCTTCCTGTTTTTTACTACCCACCCCTCTCCCTCCTGTTTACCCACCCCACCCCTTTCTCAACCCCAACTCCCACCTTTCTCCTTACCTACTAAACACCCCTTTCCCAACCCCCACCATCTCACCCTACTTCTTCCTCAACCCTAACTCTAACTCACCCACCCCTTTCCCAAACCCTTAACCCAACTCCACATGATTTCACTTGTCAAATAGATAAGTAATATGATGTAACATATTTTATATTTACATTTAATGTTTTATTTTAATTAATAAACACTTTTCATATGCTTTATTTTTATAATTTTTATCATTTTCTACTTATTTGAATAAATTGGGGTCTATTACAAATAAATGCTTTTATTTCAAATTTTTGGTTATTCTAAGCTCTGACTACTCTTTTGGCCATAACTTTTTCTACAGATATCCTTTTTGGCTGATTCTAGTTGCATTGGATTCTACACATCTAGGGCTTCAAAATGCATATATGGATCGCTGGATTTGGAGTTGTTTTCTATTTTTTATGATTTTTTGAAGTTGAGTAGATTTGCTGAATATTGTTGCGAGATTGCATTTGGACCCTTGTTATTTAATAATTGTATTTGGGCTTTTAGATGTTATTGAGGCCTGCATTTTGGCCACTTAATTTACCCTAATCAGAACCTATAAATAAGACTAATAAGGTTCTAAATGAGAGAGAGTGATTAGACACTTTGAGTTTTTGAGACTTAGCCAAAATAAGAATCTTTGTTTTTTACTTTCTCTCGAACTCTCTCGTTCTGTTCCCATTTTTGCGTAGGTTAAGCATTTCGATGGAAAGCTAAATCTTTCGTTCAATCCGCAGAATCCAAATGGTGTAGTTCTGACTTGAGTTCTGCGCTAATTGCTCCGAGTTTGTTTTCTTTTTCTTTCTAATCTCAGAATTGTTTATTGCGATCGTGATTGACTTTTCTGTTGTTATTAGGACTCGATTGATGCTTTCATTTGATAATTAATGAAAATTAGGTTAAATGATTATTTGATTTATTTCATAACTCTATTCAGTTAGGTTATTCGATTGGATTAATAATTGAATTGGATGATTGTTTAAACGTGGATTTAAATCTTTAGATACTGTGATAGTCAGAGTTATACGCAATTGATTTTTTGTGGATTGATGTTTCTTAATTCATTTTTTACTCACTTTAATTTTGTTCGTAATTTAATTTGATTAATTACAATTTTCAAAACCCCAAAAACCTTATTTGCATTTTTTAAAAAAAAACCTAAAATTAAATTTGACTGAGAATATGTCTCCGTGAATCAATCTATGTTTGACTCTATACTATAAAATCTTTAGAAAACCTAGTTGTTTTGATAGCGACTTGGCAATCGTCTATCAAATTGGCACTGTTGCCAGGGACGCATTGCTGGTTTTGATTCGTTTTAGGGTTTGGTATTGCGTTTTCACTTTCTAATTCGTAATTATTTTTTTCATCTTTGTTTCGTTTCTGTCTCTTTTGTCGTGATTTGATATTCTTGTTTGTTCCTTTTATAGAGTGCATTTAATTTCAATTTTTGTCATTTTTTTTGTTTCATTAAATTTTGCTGTTTTAGTGAATTTGGAATTTTAAATTTTGAATTTTAGATTTTTTTTTTGAATTTTAAATTTTAGATTCAGATTTTATATTTTTTTAAATATTGGATTAATGAGCGTATTGTTGCAAAATTATGTGATTTGTAGAGATTTTACATAGATCTTTCATAGATAAAAGATAAAGAGCAGCGGATAAAGATCTCTCAGATTTAGTTTAGATTTGATTTTTAAAAAATTAAATTTAAATTTTAAATTATAGTTAAAATTTGATTAGATTTGATTTAGTTTGTTTTGAGTTTAAAGATAGGATTAGTTTTTTTAGATAAATTAGTTTTAAATTTAAATTTTGAAAAAAAAAACTTTATCTAACCAATTTTTAAATTTAAATTTTAAATTTTTTATTTATTTAAAAAAATTTGAAAATAAAATTTAATTAATATTTTTCTTAAAAAAATAAAAAGACTAAAATAATTTTAATTTCTATTTTTTTATTGTATTTTCTATTGTAATTTATTTGGTTGATTTTTATTTTTATTTTTATTTTTATTTTTTCTTGTACATTTTTATTATTATTTTAATTTGTATAAGGTTTGTTTGTTCTCTCACACACCACTAATCATGCATAACATGAGCGAGACCCTATACCCGGGTTTGAGTAAACTTTAGGTTTAAAGGAATTGTATAGTGATAGCAATTTGGATGAACATCCGGTTTGTCTATCACGAGAACGCTTATCTTATCTATATAAGTCCTTTTATCTAGTAGATTACCTACTGATTGAGGATGACTTTATAGAATAAATTTTAGCTCTAGTGACTTTTTATCTTTACGCTTACAAACTATTCAAGGTAAGAATGCATGTCGTAAATCATTAGGTTAGAATTCTAGGAACCGTGATAGAATACTGTGGGAGCATATTCTTTTATTATCTCGCTACATTTTTTTATTATTATTTATTATCATTTTGTGAGTTGCAGAATTCATTGATATTATATTATTCATTTTACGTGCGGATGCTGCTCAAAATTACAAATTTCATCGTTTAGATCACTTTTCTAAATTTATTTTTATTTTTATTTTATTTTTGATATTTTTTATTTAAATTTATTTTATTTTTTGATATAGAAAAAAAAATCGCAAAATATATATATATATATATAATTTTTTAAAAAAATCTTAAAAATAGAAAATAGCTCAATTAAGTTGACTTTGACTTTCTTAGTGCATGATAAGAACCAATTCTGGTCAATTACTCGCATTTGATCCTAAGACGCACTTGGAACATGTTGAATAGACTTAAATTAAAAAGTAGTGTGCATAGTCATTGTAGTGATACCCTTGATAGTGTTGGTGTGCACTCTAATTGTGATCATTCTGATATTATGGCTAATAATCAACACGAAAGGACTCATAAATATTTGGCTGCACCAGATGTCACATACCAACCCTTAGGCATCCAATATCCCGATGTAGATGCTCCATTTGAGTTAAAATCTGGTCTAATCCATTTGTTGTCTAAGTTTAATCGTAGTGCAGGTGAGGATCCTTATAAGCATTTGAAGGAGTTTCACATAATCTGCTCAACAATAAGGCCTCAAGGAATTCCATAAGACCATATCAAGCTGAATGCCTTTCCATTCTCCTTGGATGGTGCAGCAAAAGATTAGCTATATTACCTGCAGTCAGGGTTTGTCACTTGCTGGATAGACATGAAGAGGACATTCTTAAAGAAGTTCTTTCTTGCTTCCAAAGCAGCCACAATAAGAAAAGAATCAGTGGCATCAGACAGTTCAGCCAAGAAAGCCTCTATAAGTACTAGGAAAGATTCAAGAAGCTATGCGCAACCTATCCACACCATCAGATCAGTGACCAACTACTTATTCAGTACTTCTATGAAGGCCTTGCTCTAATAGAGAGGAGTATGCTTGATGCAGCAAGCGGTAGAGCTCTCATGGACAAGACACCATCTACAATCAGAGCACTAATTGACAACATGATAGAGAACTCTCAGCAGTTTAATACAAGAGCCATGGCACTAATGAGAAAGGTGCATAATGTGCAGCAACCAACCCATATAGCAGCAAATTCTAGTAGACTTGAGAGCAGAATTGAGGAGCTCACTACTTTCATGAGATAGCTAGCTGTTGCACAACAAATTATTCCACAAGGACGGGTGACCAGAGACTGTTATATTTGTTTCTCCATAGAGTACACCTCAAATTGTTGTCCTTTGCTGCATGAGGGTAGCCAACAAGCCTCTGTCTACGGAGTTTTTAGTGAAAGACAAGACCAATACAGAGCTTTGAATTTTCAACAACCTCAGAGACAACAACAATCGTATAGGTTCTAGTACTAATCTCATAATCTTGCCTTCAATGATGATCCAAATATATGATATGGTACCTCTGAGCAGCAGCGGTAATAGACTAGCCAAGCAAGTAATGGCTATAGACCACCCCCTATGAGGTAGCAACAAACACAACAAAATTATGAGTCTTCTTTAGAGGATTTGGTCAAACAAATGGCCAAGAGCAATTTACAATTCTGACAGAATGTCAATGCCTCCATTCAAGACTTGCAAACACAGATTGGCCAACTTGCTACCATTGTAAACCAGTTCAAGTCTCAAAGTTCTGAACAACTCCCTTCTCAAATAGAGGTTAATCCTAGAAACGTGAGTGCCATAATATTGAGGAGTGGGAAGGAGCTGTTAGGCAACCAGAAAGATGACGAGGTACAAGATGATGTGGATGTAGAGAAGCAGCAAAACACAGAGCAACAAACTGCCCCTAGCAGTTCAGAAATTGTGCAGAAACCACCCCTTCCCTTTTCAAATAGAGTGGCCAAGCCAAGACCACCAACAGACTTTGATAAGGAGCTTTTTGAGACATTCAGAAGAGTAGAAGTGAACATTCCATTGTTGGATGAGATAAAACAAATTCCAAAATATGCAAAGTTCCTTAAAAAGTTGTGCACTAAAAAGGAGAGACTGAAAGGGGATGAAAGAGTCAACATGGGGAGGAACGTGTCAACCCTCATACAGCCGAATATGCCACAGAAGTGCAAGGATCCTGGCACTTTTACTGTCCCTTGCACTATTGGAAATTCCACCTGCAGCAATGCATTACTTGATCTTGGTGCTTCCATAAATTTGATGCATACATTAATCTACAGGTCTTTGAGCCTCAACCCTCTAAAGCAAACTGGTGTAGTCATTCAATTGGCAAATAGGAGCATTGCATTCTCTGCTAGAGTAGTAGAAGACATACTAGTGAGAGTGGATAAGCTGATATTCCCCGCAGATTTCTACATTCTAGAGATGGCAGAAGAGTCCAACATGCCTACATTGATCCTTGGTAGACCTTTCCTGGAAACAACAAGGACAAAGATTGATGTGTACTCAGGAATTCTATTCATGGAGTTTGGAGACGATATTGTGCAGTTCAACATCTTTGAGGCCATGAAACATCCATCAGAGCTACATAGTGCATTTCATATAGATATTATTGATGTTTTAATTGAGGAGTTTTGTACTGATTTTTCTGATATTTCTAGTTGTACATGCACTATAGGAGATTTATGCAAAATTTGTGCTGAAATAGATACATATTTAATAATTGATGATGTTTCATGTGATGCAGCAGGAGGTTTGGAAAACTCTGGCTTGATGCATGCTGTAGAATTAGACTTCTCCACCAAGACACTTCTCTCTATTATGCAGCCACCTGCACTTGAACTGAAGCCTTTGCCCAAGCACTTGAAGTATGCATTTTTAGAGGCTGATAACAAGCTGTCAGTGATTATTTCAGCATATTTGGATGCTGCATAAGAGGAGATATTGTTGCAAACTTTAGCAACCCACAAGTAAGCAATTGGGTGGACTTTGGCAACATTTCAGGAATTAGCCTATCCACTTGTATGCACAAAATTCTACTGGATGAAGATGCAAAACCTGTGAGACAGCCCCAAAGAAGGCTGAATCTCACCCTCCTGGAGGTAGTGAAAAAAGAAGTTGGTAAACTATTAGCTGTTAGAATGATATACCCGATCTCCGATAGTGAGTGGGTAAGTCCGATCCATGTTGTACCCATGAAGGCCAGCATAACAGTTACAAAGAACCAATTTGATGAGCTGATTCTGACTAGAATTCAGAATGAGTGGTGAGTCTCTATTGATGATAGGAAGCTGAATCACACCACTCACAAGGACCATTTTCCCCTGCCTTTTATTGATCAGGTCTTGGAGCGGATAGTAGAAAAATCCCATACTGCTTTCTAGACAGATTTTCTGGTTACTTTCAAATACGCATAACCCTAAAGGATTAGCATAAGACTATCTTCACTTGTCCTTTTGGTACCTTTGCTTACAGACGAATGTCATTCAGATTGTGTAATGCACCTGACACTTTTGAAAGGTGTATGATAAGCATATTTGCGGACTTCCTAGAGACCTCACTTGAAGTATTCATGGACAACTTTACTGTTTATAGGTCTTCATTTGATGCATGTTTAGATAGCTTGTCTAAAGTATTAGATAGGTGCATACAGTTCAATTTGGTTTTAAATTATGATAAATGTCATTTTATGGTGACCGAAGGGACTGTACTAGGGCATGTAGTGTTAAGTAAGGGTATTGAGATTGATAGAGCAAAATTGATGTAATTGTTTCTTTACCTTACCCTACTTCTATGATAGAAGTGAGCTCTTTTCTTAGCCATGCAGGTTTCTATAGGCGCTTCATCAAGGATTTCAGCAGAATCGTGTCCCCATTATCTACCCTTTTGCAGAAAAATGTTGATTTCATCTTTGATCAGACCTGCAAGGACGCTTTTAATGAGCTGAAGAGGTGTCTCACTTTCATTCCAATCATTCAACCTCCAAGTTGGAAGATTCTGTTCGAGCTTATGTGTGATGCTTCAAACTTTGCAGTTGGTGCTGTCCTTGGTCAAAAAATGGAGAAGCAACCCCATGTCATAGCCTAAGCTTCTCGAACATTGGATAAATTATAAGCAAACTACACCACTACAGAAAAAGAATTTTTAGCCACTGTTTTTGCTTTAGATAAATTTCGTTCATATTTACTTGGCTTTAAAGTAATTGTTTTCTCTGATCATGCAGCTCTGAGGTACTTTCTTAAAAAGTCAGATTCTAAACCGAGACTAATTTGCTAGCTACTTTTTCTATAAGAGTTTGACATTAAGATCAAAGATAGATGTGGTGTAGAAAACCTAGTGGCAGACCATTTGAGCAAAATTCAACAGCTACTGGAGGATCTCCCCATTAGAGACACCTTTACAGATGAGCAGCTTTACCATATTGGAGGGCATGATCCTTGGTATGCAGACTTGGTGAATTATTTGGCTGCTAAGGATATTTCTACATACTTTTCCAAAGCTCAAACTGTCAAGCTGAAGAATGATTCTAAATACTACATTTAGGATGATCCATAATTATGGAAGATGTGCAGTGACAAGATTATTAAACGATGTGTGCTCGAACCTAAGTTCCAGTCTGTGCTTAGATTTTGTCATTCCTTGGTTTGTGGTAGACACTTTGGACCTCAACATACAACCCGAAAGATTATAGATTCTAGACTATATCGGCCTACAATGTTCAAGGATGCACACAACTTTTGTAAGACATGCAGGCGATGCCAAAGGACTAGAAACATTTCGCTCTGGAATGAGATGTCTCAACTACCTCTCCTTTTCTGTGAGGTGTTTGATGTATGGGGCATAGATTTTATGGGTCCCTTTCTTGTTTTGTTTGGCTATAGCTACATTTTGTTAGCAGTGGACTATGTCTCCAAGTGGGTGGAGGCAAAGGCCACTCGTACTGATGATGCTCGTGTTGTTGTAGATTTTGTAAAGTCACATATTTTCTGAAGGTTTGGATTTCCCAGAGCATTAATCAGTGACCAGAGATCACACTTTTGCAATTGCACAATGGCTGCCTTACTTTGGAAGTTTGGGATTATGCATAGAGTTTCTACACCATACCACTCTCAGACTAACAGACAAGCAAAGATCTCCAATCGAGAAATAAAGCAAATCCTGGAGAAGACTGTCTAATCCAATAGAAAGGATTGGAGTCTACGCTTGGAGGAAGCTCTATGGGCTTACAGAACTACCTACAAAACACCGATAGGAATATCTCCTTATCGGGTTGTTTTTGGTAAGGCATGTCATCTACTAGTAGAAGTGGAGCATAAGGCATTCTGGGCGATCAAGCAATATAACCTAGATATAGAGGCAGCTGGCTCGCATAGGAAGCTTCAATTACAAGAGTTGGAGGAGATTCGTAGAAAAGCATGATGAATCCACATTTTGACTAGTATTTTACTATAACATTAATCCATTTGACAAAGAATATACATTGGAAAAAGCATAAAAACTCATAAAAATAAAATGATTAAGGTTTTCTTTTAGATTTATTGTTATTTTAGCATTTATGAATTTTCTGTGTAAAAGTTAATAATTCAATAATGTTTTTGTAGAAAATTCTGAGCAAAGTTCATGAAGATGGAAGATCAATAGAAAGATAGAAGTAAAGTAGCAAATCTAGACTTAAAGAACAAGGTTTATGGAGTGGAGTCTGTGCGTAATCACTATTATCCACAAGAGTGAGTGTTCCACAGGCTTTCTCAGAAAAACACAGTGCGCGTTATCACTTTCACTGGTGAAAGTGAGCTTTCCAGATAAGCTCCAGACTCAACAAAGAGCGTGTTGTCACTTTCACTAGTGAAAGTGAGCGTTCCAGAGGAACTCCAATCATAGCAGAATAGCGCGTTATCACTTTCGCTGGTGAAAGTGGATGTTCCAAAGAAGCCTCAATCTTAGCGAGTAGCGCGTTATCACTCTCGCCAACAAGAGTGATTGTTCCAGAGAGGCATGTAGCAAGGCAAGTTGCGCGTGGCCATTTTTACTCATGAAAGTGAACACGCGCACAACTCGACTTCCAGCGTTGCCACTTTTATGAATGAAAGTGATCATTCCAGCCTTCTAGAACACCAGATAAGCCTCTGCATGGCTACTCTTGTGAAGAAAAGTGATAACGCGCAGAAGGCGAAAAAACATATAAATTGTAGAAGCGCTTAGATTTTTGGGATCTTTTGTTCATTTTTCATTTCCACTTAGTTTTCTGGTGTGGAGAGAGTCTGAGAGAAAGAGTGGGGACGAACATCGAGCTTCAACCTAGAGGAATCAGATTGAAGATCGATTGAAGATGACTCTTCTGCATTCATTCTCCTCTTCTCTTTCTTTTTCTTTCTCTGCTGTAATGGTTGCGTAAATTCTTCATAGTTAGGGATTGTGGATCCAAAACGAATGTGTTGAATCAATTCTGGATCTGACTTTTGAGTTTTTGAATGGATTGAGTGATTGATTCTGCACTTTACATAGTGATTGAATAGAAATTTGATTAACTAATTACAGAGAAACTCTTATCCATGGAAATTGGATTTGTTTCTCATATCTGAATCAATTACCAAGATTATAGCTTTCTTAGGGATAAGAGAACTTGATCTTGCAATCTTCTGGTTTCTTACACTTAAAGCAACATTGAATTAAACCAGATCAAAGGAATTAGAGTGATTTGATTGAATGTTAGGTTCATTGAGTTAAGGAATTAACCTCTGAATAATACAACGTGAAACTGATTGTTATTCTTTCCAATTACTTTTAAGTTCAGAACTTTATTGATTCAACATTGAAGTTTTGGTGAAACAACTCCCTAGCTATGTTTTCCACATCTGTTAATCACACATTTGCATGTTAATTGTTCTGTTTTTCTTTTGAGTTCAATATTTGTCAATTTGAATTCCAAACTCCATCTGAAATTTGTGAAGATCAACTAATTGTGGCCTTGTGAAGTGATAATTGAGTACTTTTATTCCCTGAGGACGATACTTGGGACTCTAACACAATTCTTTCAATTTTATAACTTGCTACATCAACACTAGTACACTTGCTAGTCAAGTTAACTTCTCTTCTGAAGTGTGACAAAGCATATGAGAACTCCAATATCTACAAAGAGCGCACCAAGGCTTTTCATGATAAGCTAATAGGGCATAAAGAGTTCCACATTGGTGACAAAGTCCTTTTATATAATTATAGACTTAAGTTGATGTCTGGTAAATTGAGATCTAGGTGGGATGGTCCCTTTCTTGTTATTAACATTTTTCTTTATGGTGTTGTTGAACTTCAGGATATGGGATCGCAAAGGAGCTTCAAGGTTAATGGGCATCAGCTCAAGGTTTTTCATGAGAGATTGGGGGAACATGAACAAGAGGAGGTCACTTTTGAATTGGCCACCTACCCTGATTTATAGGGAGTTTTCTTACCTTTCTCTCACTTATTGGATTGTTTGAATTGTCCTTATGCTTATTGTGTTTTCCATTGAGGACAATGTTAATTTTAAGTGGGGGAGAGTATTATGTTTTTGGTGTGTACATAGTCTAATTAAGTGATTATTTCAAGGCTTTGATGGATTGATTGAATCATTCTTTAGTTTGATAGGTGGACTTTGATATCTTATGTGTTTGATTATTTGGGATAGAATATATACCTTCTGAGGTTATAAGCCTTATAGATGACAATATCATGTCATTTTACTTTCCTTTATTGTGTGATTACACTCATAGTTGTATGACAGTAGAACTTGCCTTGAGCCTTTTTAAGACTATATTTCCATATACTCACACATTAACATAATAGAGGCATCATTTCCTTCTTGCAAACTACTACCCAAAAAGCCAACCCTGCATTATTTCCATTATTTGAGCCTCCTTGAGCCTAATTGTCCTATTTCTTGTGATCTCAGCTCATTTCAA